TGGTGAGTTCAGCCCGTCCCAGCATCACACAGTGTAGCATTGCTGGTATAGCCGCATGTCAACTTTGTGTATCAGTGTTTATCTCCGAGTTTGTCTTGTTTTTTCCCGGATCATGGTGAAGAGGTGTGTCGTTGGCGGGTGTAGCAACACCAATCGGGATGGTTTTACCGTTCATTTGTTCCCGAAAGAGAAGGCCGGTGGTGCACATTCGCGTTTTGCTGGCTCGAACCTATACGGTTCTAGGCCTCTTATTTCTGGTGTAAAAGGCGGCAGAGATCGTTCAGATTCATCGTCACTGCTCGCATCGTCCACACCAAATAATTGTTCTGTCAAATTGTGCCAAATACCCGCGCTATTAGCTTTTTCTGATGCGTAAACATCAACAATATTTGACGCCATTTTTCGTTGTGAACTCTCGCTGGCTGCGCGCATTGGCTGTCGATCCGGACGGCAGCAGGGATCCAGACAGCGGCAACCGGGAACCACACGTGACGTCACGAAATTGCCTGCTTCCAGAAGCAAAGTTTTTTTTATTGGACCTAATATTTTTCCTTTTTTTACATATTATTCAGTATGAAATAAAGAAACATACATTGACTATCTGTTGCATACACCTCCCCAGAAATCAACTGCCAAAAACTGTTTTTAATGTAAGATAAGGACTTTAAAGCAGTGTTTCTCAAACTTTTACCAAGGACCACTTAACCAATAGAACTCCACAAATATAAAAAAACACATCGTTTTTCTAGAACAGATTACAAATCGCCTGAAAATGGTACAAACAAGTGGCAACATGTGTGACGAAGGTGTTGCGCTGGGCTATATCATGCAATCGAAAGTGAAACTTAACCTCGCTCCATTGCGGAGATATTCCCGCGAGAGTGCGGAAAACTTAAATGTATTTATTTATTTCAAATGTGAAATGTTACCAATATACTCACGGACCACTAGGGGGCGCTCATGGACCACAAGTGGTCCGCGGACCACACTTTGAGAAGCACTGCTTTAAAGACATCGATTAGTTTTATTCATACCTGTTATAATGAAAGCCTACACACTTTATTGCTATCTTGTATAAAAACTGAATATCTACTCCTGTATATTTCAAGATTATTAGACTTTGTGTGTTTGCTTGCCTTGCTGGAATCCCCTCCAAACACGGCGATGTTTCTTTGGACCCAGAGTAGAGCCGCCTGCTGGTCCAATATCCCATAATTCCCTGCAGCTGCTGAAAGATGCTTTTTACCAGACACAAGGAACCCAAAAGCACCTTAAAGACACGCAGAAAGTCACATGATCAGCGGGACATAATTGACTCCAGCAGGACATTAATTAACTCTGAGTGCCACATATACTGTATATGTCTCATGCAGGACTGCAGAGTCATTACAAATTGGGTTATTTTGACCACAAGCTCATTATTTACTCTTATGTCTACCACGAGTTGCCTTCTTGTTGCTTTTACAAAGACATCCGTATACTTAATCCCGGCATATACCGTAGAAGAAAAGCCCTGAAGGAATTGCTATTAAGATAAGATCATTCTGTATAATGCAAAATGTGTCATTGCACAGAGTACTTAAACCACAGTTAGCATCTAACAAGTTCTTTTTTTAATTGTATAATATAAGAATATACAGGTGACAGATATAACAACGTCAAAGAACATACAGTATGAACAGTATACGAGGGTAAAAGCGCTATAAACAATAGTAAAAGTTATTGATGTGTAATATATAGTATATGAATGTATATTAATATATGTATTATTGAGTAAACATGTATATTTCTGTCTGTATGAAGTGACCTCTCTGCATCCTCCCTCAACCAGGCACATTTGAGTCCTTTGAAATAATAGCTTACACATTATCTGAGGAGTCGACAACAGGAAGTGATGTAATATCTGTCTATTTGTGGTTTTGCAAAATGTCTTAATCCTGGCTTGTCTTGCAAGTCAAACACAACAACAGGTAATGCTATTGTAAAGTGTGCATGTAACAGTGCTTCCACTATTCTTGCACACGTGTTACAAACTTTACATGCAATAAAAAGGGACTAACTCAACATGCCGTACCCAGTCTGTACTCCAGGCTCACCACCACAGAGTGTGTGAAGTTGCTGATGAAGCGTCCGTCGTACAGAGGCTTTGAGGCCGATCCGGCGATGAAATCCCCCCCGTGGATCCACACTAAGACCGGGAGAGGGACCGCCAGAGGAGACAGGAAGTCCACATCCAGAGGGACGAAGACGTTCAGGTACAGACAGTCCTCACTCACCTTTCATGGAGAAAATAATCTTTAAAGGTCACCTATTATGCAAAGTCCACTTCTTCATGTCTCTTCTACATCAACATGTGTCCCCTCTTCTTCATGTCTCTTCTACATCAACATGTGTCCCCTCTTCTTCATGTCTCTTTTACATCAACATGTGTCCCCTCTTCTTCATGTCTCTTCTACATCAACATGTGTCCCCTCTTCTTCATGTCTCTTCTACATCAACATGTGTCCCCTCTCCTTCATGTCTCTTCTACGTCAACATGTGTCCCCTCTTCTTCATGTCTCTTCTACATCAACATGTGTCCCCTCTTCTTCCTGTCTCTTCTACTTCAACATGTGTCCCCTCTTCTTCATGTATTTTCTACATCAACATGTGTCCCCTCTTCTTCATGTCTCTTCTACATCAACATGTGTCCCCTCTTCTTCATGTCTCTTCTACATCAACATGTGTCCCCTCTTCTTCATGTCTCTTCTACATCAACATGTGTCCCCTCTTCTTCATGTCTCTTCTACATCAACATGTGTCCCCTCTTCTTCATGTCTCTTCTACATCAACATGTGTCCCCTCTTCTTCATGTCTCTTCTACATCAACATGTGAGATTCTGAAAGTTTCAGGAACAAAGATTTAAAAACCTGTCTGAAAATGAGCTGATGGCCACTTTGTGATGTCATAACGATGTTTTGTCTTGTGTAACCATTAGCCAATCAGCAACCAAGGTAACCCCCTGTCTCTTCTACATCAACATGTGTCCCCTCTTCTCCATGTCTCTTCTACATCAACATGTGTCCCCTCTTCTTCATGTCTCTTCTACATCAACATGTGTCCCCTCTTCTTCATGTCTCTTCTACATCAACATGNGCGTGGGAGCGGGCCTCCCTTTATTTTCATCCTGAAGTACCAGACCAGAGAGATTCCAGCACTTTGGAAAGCCAGGGCTGAAAGGCAGAGGGATTATGGGTAATGCTGCAATGATCTGTTTGGTGTTTCAGCCATCAGAGAGCGGCTCTGGAAATATCGCTGAGAGCTGTGATATATTGATGAAAAACAGTAATAATAGGGACCTTTAAGTTAGTCTTTAAAAATCAATGTTAGGGGGTTGTAAACTTGCTAGCTTGGCAGCCTAAACACTATCCATTTGTTGTGTTTTTATTTACCATATTAATAGGTGACTGGTTTGATACACCAGTAGATTCTGAGTAAAATACGAACCATCTAAAATTCACTAGGTGTTTTCGGTAAAAACAGAGCCACATGCACAAATACACACTTCCATTTTTTATTGAAAACCATTACAGCTAAACTAGCCGTAGCTAACTAACTTGTTACCAAATTAGTTTTCCTGCTACGCCCTAAACATTATACAGTAATTGAAGTGGTGGAATGTAATGAAATACATTCACTCACAATAAAAAAAAACACTATGAGAGTGTTTTCAGGCCCTTTTCTGTCCATTATGTACAACTGTACTCACTGTAAGTCACTTTCCATCAAATTACCACAAAATCAAAAATCATGTTACTTCACCCTAAAAGACAATTTAACAATGTTGTTTCTTACCTTCCTGGGACACTCCTCAGAGATGGGTCCGCTGCAGGCCTGCATGCATGCGGCTCTGGGGAAGGAGGCATCATAAATCCCCGGCCAAGAACTCACAGGTCTGGGTGGTTTCCAGCGATAAGCCCCAACAGGAGGGTCTGCGTACGGGATCCCATAGAAGATACGGGCCTTGTCCACCGTTATCCCTTTGATCTGTCCATCCTTTGTCGTCACCACAGCCCCAGAAGCCCCGTTACTATCCTGACTGACTGCTTTCACATTGGGTCGCGCCTCAGATCGTCCTACAAAGTCTCTTTTGGGGATGAACGGCTCTTCCTTCACAAGCATCCCAGGGTAGATACTTCTCAAAAAGCTGGCAAGGTCGAAATCATTATTTTTCAAATTCTCCACAGGGGTTAAACTCAGCAGAAGCAGAAACAAACATTGCCAGATCTCCATGTTGCGTTAAAATACTTCTGCTGCTCAGATTACATTTGACTTGAGTAGCAAAAGGTTTGAAAAAGTTGCATCCCCCCACAAGCCTGCAGTAGGAAACTCTCCACAGATTGTTTTCCATACTTGTGACTCCAATTTAGGGAGTCGCTGGTTAAGATTTAATCAGACAAAAGCTGCCCTGTGTGATGCTGAGTGGAGTCCGGTGAGAGGGTGATGAAGGAGCGCTAATGGAGGACCACTCGTCTTCTCTTTGCTTAATGTAATCACAAAGTCAAACACAGAAGGTAAATGGGGAAACTGCAGCAGGCTTCATGGAGAAACATGTGTTTTAATCAATCTTATATTCAGGTTTATCGGGTATTATTTATGAACTATTATGTACTATGATAACGTGCAATTACGTATCTGCCACTACGTTTTTTTTCTCTACTAAATACTGTTATTATTTACATTAATTATGCGACCATCTATGTTTCCTGTAGATATTCAATTGCTCTTTTTACAGCACTGTTAGGGTACAGCTATCATTATGCTGCTGTGTTTATTGTATTTTCAACAATTTCCTTCTGGATAAATAAAGTCTTATCTTAACTTGTATTTTGCAGATGAAGTCAGGGCACTAGCAGTTTAATAAATCTGCTATAGAGGATTGTCAAAGAGAGGCTATATGATCCGAAAAGTAGAAAAACTAGAATTGTTTAAAGGTCTGATGCATTTACAAATATCAACTCAACTCAAAGGAACCAACATTGTGAAAAGAGTCGGTCTGCATATAACTCTCTGTTATGAAGAAGTGATTTGTCGTGATAGAGGGTAAGAGAAATAAAATAAATATAATAAAACATTTGTATGTTTTCTCATGACATACTAACAGAGGTATTGAAGTATTTGATTACACAGATTTTGGGTCACTGTTGAATTTCCTGAATCAAAGACTTCTCCCTTTTGTCAACCACTTCTCTGTCAGGGTTAGTTTAAACATGTATGCCATTACAAAGTTAACCTGTATTCAAAAATGTAATCAGTGACCTAATGCAATGCCAATAAATACAAGAGAAAATAAATATCAATGAGATGTTTTTTAAGTGTATTATGTAAGGCCACGTTTACACGGAGACGAAAACTAAAAAGTCTTCCGTCCACGCGGAATCGGCTCAAGAAACGTGTCCGTCCACACGAGACTGGAGACGCTGTAGTACATATGCCGGGCCTGTAAGTGGCGCTAGATTTATTTTCTGTCTCGATTCATTCTAGTGAGTCGAGAGTTGGAGCTCGGGGGGCGGGGCTTAAGGGGCGCATGCTCTGTGAGCGCACATACCATGGCTGTATAATAAGAACTGGATACAGCGTGGGAGGCTGGGTTTCGTTCTTTCCTATGAGAGCGGCTCATTGGCGCATGAAGACAAAATGGCCCAACTTTTGAGAGAGTGAAACGTCACAAATTACCCAGCATGCCTAGCTTTCAGAGCAGAAGAACCCGTATGTGTGCTCACAGAGCATGCGCCCCTTAAGCCCCGCCCCCG